GGCCAACTTTCCTGGTTGTCGAGCCATGTTGGACACGACTCTCATGAAGGGGCACTCCCTTCGGAGTTAGTAGAGCAAGCTGCCTTTGCTCCTTGCTCAGGGGAAACTACTTTCATCTTTGCCTCAGTTGGCTGGAGGGACTTTTTTCCTTCATCCTTTAATTACTGCCTTATGCTTGTAGAGTAGGGCCTTCCACAACTGCTGCTGTCGATGTTGTCAAACATTAGAGATGTGGACTCAACTATTCTTCATGTGAGCTGAAGCAATGAGACAAAAAATTAAGTGAATTGTAGTGTGATCGAAGCATTGCTCCTCGTGTATATTTATAGGTAATGACAATACAAAGGTAGCATCAATGTCATTATGGGAGTATCAGATTAAACCCTCTTCCTTAGGTAGGAATAAAAATAGGGCAATAAATTCTTACTTATATTTTATTGATCAATAGGTATAATAAATGTTTTTCTTCTCCAATTATTTTGTTCTTTTTGCAAGTCGCTCTCAAAATAAGCAAGAGAATCGGAGATCTAATTATACATCCCAATATGCGATATAGGCAAGACTCAAACCTAGGATCTCTTAGTTGGGAGCCAACTCCCAGCCAACAAACTTAGAATCCAAATAAAATGTTAGTTATTCTAATGATGATGAAGTTTGTATGTCCTGTAAAGAAACTATTGAACTTTGGTCTTGAATTGTGATGTAGGCAAAAGTTTCAGTTTTTTTCTTTTAATGGGCATTTATTGTTGGGCTGAAAATTTTCTTTTGGGCTTGACCCATTTTCCCTTGGTTGATTTTCTGGCTGGCTGGCCGTGCCTCTCTCTTGGGTTTTTCCTATGTTTTGATTGGCTGTTCGGATCCTGAGCTGGCTGATTTTTTGGTTGTTTGGTTCCTAAGCTGGCCGTGCCTCTCTCTTGTATATTTTCCATGCTTTGGCTACTCCATTGGAGGCTTGAGGCGGCACCTTTTTGGGGGCTGGCTGTTGGTTTTTTGGGTTGTTCGGATCCTGTGCTGGCTGTTGGTTTTATGGCTGTTTGGTTCCTAGGCTAGCCGTGCCTCTTTCTTGGTGATTTCCCATAAATTCTGGCTGCTCCTATTGGAGGCTTGGGCGGCACCTTTTGGGGGTTGTTTGGATTCCTTTTCTCTATTTAAAGGGGGTTTTTTTGCTACTTTTTTTAGATAGATTTGAGATATTTTTTTGGAGCATGAAACTTGTGGGTTTTGAATAGCTTGCGAGCTATCCTCTTCTACCTCCTCTCTTCTTATAATTTGTCTCGGTTTCTAATCTCTTTCTTCTCTCCACAGTATCCCTTCCAATTGTATCCTTCTCTAAACTTTATTAATAGTAAGTTGGTTGTGTTGTTTACAAGTTGAAAGTAGTGTTGAATTTTGTTTTTGAAGTTGTTTTGTGTATTTCTAAGCTATATTGTAAGTCTTATTTTTTGGCAATCTTGTAGTGTTTTGAGTTTGCAACCTTAGCATCTTATTTTTTTGGTTGCATCAAATTGGTTGAGTGGAGATGCAGATGGGTAGATTGGTGGCTGTCCTCTATATGTGCCGCACTAGTTAATGCATATTGTGCCGCAACATGTGAAAGGAAATTTTACCTAATGAGCCTAAGATATATAATTTGAGGTTTATTTAACGCAAAGCTTTAACTAGTAAGTGAGAGCTTTAACTAGTAAGTGAGAGTTATCCAGGTCTGAATTATTATGTACCCAAACCTTTTCCCTTATATTTTATATTGCTTTATGTTCTTCATTTTAGTGATATTGAGTTGGAACAATGGAACCCCTCGTGTTCTCCAGAAATCATCCATCACGACACTTTCCAAATGTTCAGACGGATGGCATAGTTATCTAGATAGGATACGAAATAAGCATATACGTGAAAATGTTGGAGTAGCTCTAGTAGAAGATAAGATTAGAGAGAGTCGCCTTAGATGATTTGGTCACATAAAACGGAGGCCTTCCGATGACCCGGTTAGGAAAGTAGAGGTATTAGATTTGACTTATGTTAAGAAAGGTAGAGGCGGACCTAAAAAGACTTGGTTAGAAAATATTAGGAATGACCTTTCTTTATTAGATTTAAACGATTTTTTCTCTCTTTTTTTTTGTTGCATTATTCCTTGTGTTTTTCAGGAAGTTTACGAGCAACAGAAAGAGCTCATTTTACTGGGGGAAAGGCTCGTTCTAGCGACACTTGGTTTTGATCTAAATATGTATCACCCATATAAACCCCTTGTCGAAGCAATCAAAAAGTTCAAGGTGGCACAAAATGCTCTGGCTCAAGTGGCATGGAATTTTGTAAATGACGGGTACCTACCTTTTTTCTCGAGGCATGTTACTTAGTTCTGCCTTAAAATCCCCCACTGGATTATTTATCTAAATATGCTATGCAGGTTGCGGACTTCACTCTGCCTGCAATTTAAGCCCCACCACATAGCTGCTGGTGCCATATTTCTTGCTGCCAAGTTTCTTAAGGTGAAGCTTCCATCTGATGGAGAGAAAGTGTGGTGGCAAGAATTTGATGTCACACCACGGCAACTTGAAGGTTGACTCATCAAATAGTTTTGACCTGGGAATATTTGAATCTTTTTATATATCCAAAAAATTTATGTTCGTGTTCCTTGTAGATGTCAGCAATCAAATGCTGGAGCTTTATGAGCAAAATCGCCTAGCCCAACCATCTCATGCTAATAATGAAGCTGATGGAAGTTCTTGTGCTGGAACTAATCATCCAACAGTGGTAACCTCCACTCTCAGTGAGAGCTCAGTATCTATAAATGCAAGGCAAGTGGCTCAAGTAACTCCACAAATGAGGCCGATCGGGGCTCAACAATCTAATGCTGATGGTGACCGTATCAGTTCCCGGAGTGCTCGGAGCCACAGCAATGACCATGGAAGTGCTGATAGTAAAAGTGGGGTCTGGGACCATAATATGGATGGCGATGGGAAAGATAACTTGCATCAAGAGGCTGAGCTGGTTTCTCGCCGCTGGGAATCCACAGCTGAAGCTCTGAGCTCTTCAAAGCTATTTCATGCAGATGAACTGTCAGATGAGAAGGGCAGCTGTGCAGAAACTATCACAAAGATTGACAAGGAAAAAGTGAAAGCTGCTCTTGAAAAAACAAGAAAACTCCGGAATGACACGGCAAAAAAAAATGAGATTGTAGATGATGATGATGATCTCATCGAAAGAGAGCTTGAGAGTGGAATTGAGCTTAATAAGGAGGATAATAGACAATGCTGGCCAAAGCCCCTACATCCTTTTCAGGCGAGTATGAAACCAAAACTTCTCAAATCTGGAAATGTAAATGTTGATAATCGAATCCAGGAATTTGTTGAAGAAGGGGAGCTCTCCTCCATTGATGAGCATGATCATCCTCTACCTAAGTTGCAGAGTAATAATGGAAAAGTTTCAGCTGCAAAGCGAAGGCCAGATGAGGTGTGGTCAGATCTTTCTGACAGGGATCATAAAAGGGTGAGAGGAAAAGTTGACTGATATGATTATGTTAAAGCTTAAAGTTGGAAAAAAAAAATATAGTCAACTATGGAAGTGATTCCTACAGATAATGCATCCCTGGTGATTGGACTTCATTTTCTTATCAGATCAAATGGTTTGAATTAGAAAGGTAGAAAGGGCTGCTTGGAAGTGGCTTGAGCTTATTTCATATTATTATACCTGACATTAACTCCTATTTTAGTGGTATTTTTCGCAGAGTTTTCTGCAGTGATTGGCCTTCTCTTGATTTTAACGCTCAATTCCTTTTCATGGCTTGAGTGTAGTATGGCTTCAATGGCTGTTTGGAAGCAAAAGACATTTTTCAATGTTCGCTCATTCTTGCAGGTTTATGCATTGAGACTTGTATATTATGAACAGATAATTGTATTTTTTATGTTTTGAATGTATTAGCATTTCATTTTTGTTTCCAGAGGTTTTGATGTCCAATTGTGTTGTTTATTGCTCTGAAATTTTCCGCCTCTACTGTGATTTATAGCGGAACTTCGTTTCTATTATTATTTTTCTTGATTGAAATTTGATTGGTATTGATTTCAAAAGTATTTGATTAATTTTAAGATAAAAATTAATCAAGATGTAATATGAAGAAAAAAAAAATGCATTTTATCATAATCAAATTATAAGAACTTCCTAGTTTTAAAAATTATTATACTGTCACCATCTTCATAGAAGAAGATGATTATCATTTTGTTTACTTTAATTTGAAAAGAAACTGAATTTTTTTTTATTATTCAAAATTGTAAAAAATATCATTTCTTTTATAAAAGATCAAACCATCAACATATTTAATTAAAGATAGAGTGATTAAGGAAGATAATGACATCATGAAAATAATTATTAAGATTTATTTTCTTTATAAGGAGGAATGGCTAAATTTTAAAGCAGGGAGTCATATAAGAGATGTTCTCCATCCTCTCTCCTCCTTTCATTAAAACTTTCAAGAATGAAACATTTGGGTGCATTATAATCTGATCTCTTAAATTAATCAAGATGAGCATCAATTATGCAATCAACTCAGGAAGAGTTTACAGCTTATTTTTATTTTAATTCCTCTTTAGAATTATATTTTAATGTGAATTTTAATGCTTATAGATATAAAATCTTCTAAGGGCTGCTAATATAATTCTTATGTCAGTCACATATATTTATTTCTAATATAAATATTAAGATATTTATGTCAAATGTATAAATTTTATAAGTTTGAATTTTTAACAGATATATATATATATATATAAACTTTGGTTTTCATGTCCGCCATGTACTTTCTTCCGATTCCCACCAACCTTTTCGTAAGTAAGTTTGGCCGCTGCTCAAAATTTTTCATCTACCTTCCTCTTCTCGTTATAAGTATCCTCTTTCTGTATCTCCTTCCAAAATTGAAGCTTTTTTCGATAACTTCAGCGTTGTTCTTCTACGACAGCCTTCTAGCTCGGTTTCTTCGACGCCATCTTGTTTTCCTTGATTAAAAAGGTGCGATTTTTCGACTCATTGGCACTTCATCTTGGTGTTCCTTTTATAAATTCTTCTCATATTGAATTTTATAGATACGCGGCATAATGCTTCTACTTTTAATCCTCTTTTTATTCTGGTCCTTGATGAAAATTTCTTTTCTTATTGCGAAAAATGTTTTTAAGGTAATCTGTTTTGACTCCTGTTTCTTATGAGAGTAGCTGATGTTGATCTTTACCTTTATTTTTTTTCTCTCTTTTGGTTATGATCTTTACTGGCCAGTTACTTCCCTGTGAATGTTTTTACCTTTTTTTGGGTATGTATCGAAACACCATGGATACATTTATTGAGATGATGTTGCTGTGTTTCCAGAGAATGGCTACAGCCACATTTTATATATCCTTGGGCTGCATCCAGAACCACAAGAATCAGATTTGCTCCAATTTGCAAAACTGGCCTGGGAAATCTTCATTGAGAGAGGGTTACAAAGGTTTTGGCATAGAAATTAGATTACTTAGGAGGGGAGCTTGTTGCCATGATAGCTCCCAAGGCATAATTCATGCATCATCCTCACATTCTTCTGTTACTGATCCACTGAGTACTCCCTAAAAGTTCTCATACATGTATTCCCAAATCTATGCAGTTCAATTTATGTCTGTGAACCAAACCATAAAAATGAATATCAAACCACCCTTTGCTATGATTTAAACCTCTGATCTCTCGTTCAGAGATCAAAGGAAATGCTACTTTATCTAGTGCTAAAAATAGATTATTAGTGAAGAATCAATTAAGGCTTCGTTTGGGACTATTGTTTCATGTTGCTTCTTAAAGCAGCTTTCTAAAACAAAAATTTTAATTATTGAACTAAAAAACTGCTTTAAGAAATAACAAGAAAGCCATCCCAAACGAAGCTTCAAGTCAAACATATTTGATTCATACAATTCTCCCAGACTCGAACCTTCGCTTTCTGCTAATCCATATTGTGAAGGCAATTTATGAACTAATTGTTGAAATGATCTAGCACTCAGAACGTCAGTATGTTCAGTTATATGACATCTAACGCTTTGAATAATTTGCATTTCAGATCGAACCGCAACTTTTGTCTGGCAAAAATGTGATGATTGCAGCTCATGGGAATTCCTTGAGATCAATAATTATGTATCTTGACAAGTTGACTTCTCACGAGGTGCCTCATTTGTTCTTGTTTCCAGATGAGTATTACAGTTTATTTTTCATAGTTTTAAAAACTGTTGGTTAAAGTTTTGTTTGGGACGGCTTTCTTATTGCTTCTTAAAGTAGCTTTTTAATACAAAAATTAAAAATGTTGTACTAGAAAGCGACTTTAAGAAGCAGTTAAAAAGCCGTCCCAAATGAAGCCTAAATCTTTATTTCTGATTTTCTTTTTTTTTTCTTTAGGTAACCAATCTGGAGCTTACTACTGGCATTCCCATGCTATATATATTTAAGGAAGGAAAGTTCATCAGGAGAGGAAGTCCAACAGGACCTTCTGAGGCTGGTGTTTATGCGTATACTTTGGTACAAATCCTACTTGTGCTTCCCTGTTTTCTTATGCTTTATGCTTTCTTGTAACTGGCTAAGCTACTCAGTTATATATATATATATATATATCTAAAAAAGGAATGGACTGAAGACAAATATATATATAAAAGAAAGTGATCACTACGCGAACGAATAAAAAAGCTCAGGGCAAAAATAGCAGGAAATAGAAGTATTCTTCTTCTTTTTTTCTTGACAATATTTATTGTCCTTAACTACTTATAGCTATCATCTAAAATCGGTAATCATAAGTCCTTTGCCTCAATGAGTCATACTGGAGTTTAACTAAGTCATGAAGGAACAAAAAAAAAAAAAAAAAATCGACGACTCAAGCGAAGGTCGGCAGACACGACGCCTCATTTAAATGATCAAACAACCACTAATCGCCAAATGGAATGCACTGTTATGATCATAGTGTCGAATTTACCTAAGAGATAGCCTCTCGGAGTTGAATCGCATGACTACGAGTCGCCAAATGGACCCCTGCTCTTCAATAGAGTTCCTAGTCTTCTATTCTATCTCCTCCTTCCCACTACAACAACTCTCAATCCTTCTCATTTCCCTTCTGTTTGAATACAACAGTAGTCGACCCCTGCTCTCTGTTTCTTTCAACCCACACTCACCTAAAATGTAGTTCCTTTCATAGCATAGCAATATTTCTAATGGTGAAGCTAGATCTTTAATTCAAGCCGAGAAGCTTAGGCAATGAAGTATGTCATTGCCAAGAGAGCAGTCTTATATTTCGTTTCTTAAACACACTAGTATACAGACAAGATCTACTTACAATAACATTTGATAGATATTGCTACAGATTTTTTTTTTTTCTAAATTATTAATTAAGTTTTACTGTATAGCTACTAATGTATTTTTTTTATCTTTCCTTGCAGAGCCTGGCTCGCTATAGACAGAAGCTTGATGAGATGCTTAACTGATACATTTCATCAATATTTGCAGTAAGCACTATTTGAAGAGAAATGTTTGCTTTGTCCAAAATCTGCGCTTTGAAAAGCCGGAACTTTTTACCCATAAGAAACTCTTAGCTAATGTCTCTTCTCCTTTATTATTGGAAAGGAAATTGATCTTAAGGTCTTAATTGTCGTCAAGCCATACTTCTAATCTCTCACATTTTTACGGTGCTGTGAAGAACCGAAGCATTTAAGTGATGATTATCATATTCAAGATAGTTGTTCCTCAGTCCTTTCAATGATTGTCATACAATATAGTCGAAGACCAAAGAAAATATCTAAAAAAGGAATGGACTGAAGACAAATATATATATAAAAGAAAGTGATCACTACGCGAACGAATAAAAAAGCTCAGGGCAAAAATGGCAGGAAATAGAAGTATTCTTCTTCTTTTTTTCTTGACAATATTTATTGTCCTTAACTCCTTATAGCTATCATCTAAAATCGGTAATCATAAGGTCAATAATACAATATAAACATAGTTTAAAAGTGACATTTTGTATGCCATTTTATTATAAAAATAAATAAGAAAATAAATTAATGGAGGTGATCCAATCAAACGGCCAAAGATCGTCCCACATTCGCATTCTCGCCATCACATCTGTCATTCTCGACTTGTAGCTCAACTGATGGCAGCTCTGGCATTCCTATCGAAGCCTGAAACACCATCATTCAAACATCGTCAGTTGTTCGTCGTTAGTTTTAATACAATTACTTATTGTGATTGATTACTAATTAGCTCAATTAAACACCTGGGTTATTGACGGCGCAGGAGGGATCAATGCTGATAAGTGCTCCGTAGATACATAGCCTTGTTGCCACGTGTCGACTCCCACTTGTTGGTCCATTTGAGTTGACATCGACTCGCACATCTCGTAATTCCTGCCTCGTTGGACGAAATTAAACGGTTAAAATTAAAGTATTTACAAGACAATAACGAGTGATTGATATAATTGTTGTACCTGAGGGGCACGAGAGAATTTGAAGTGAAGAACCATGATTGGTTGGTCCTACCAAAGCTATTCTGGTTGTGATTGTAGCTCAACGGGTTTGTCATTCCTTCTTGTTCAGGCTGTAGGTTCATCTGCAGGAAAGAGAACAAAAAATATGTGTAGCGATTTATTGGCTCATAATGATGTATTATGTTTGATTAATGTAGCTAACTTTACCGGTATGCTCGTCAGGGATGGATCGTAGGCAGGAAGATGATTGCCCAGCAATAAATTCTATGAAAAATGATTATAAAGTTAGGGGAATACACATTATTAATAAATAAAACTATTTATAATAATTATTATCATAAAAATAGTTTATTTGAGAGAAATAATACCTATGTGAAACCAATGAAAATATGATTTTTAATCAAAATTCTAATAT